CCTGGAGGTGAGGCTGAGGGGCCTGACGCCGAGGGAGGCCCGGAGAGAGAAGACAAGAAACCGGGCCTTCTCGGCGGTGGCCCCTCGCCTTTGGAACAATCTCCCTCCTGAGATTCGCGCGGCCCCTTCGCTGGGTACATTTAAAACTCAATTAAAAACATGGCTTTATGTCAAGGCCTTCCCTCCTGCCAGTGTTTAATTTAATTTAATTTACTTTTTCTTCTTCTTTTTCTATTTATTATTTATGATTTATTATGTTTTGTTAATTGACATTTGATATTTTTGGATTTATGCTGTTATAATCTGTATATTTTATGTTAGCCGCTCAGAGTGGTACTGACCTACCAGATGGGCGGGATACAAATCAAATAAATAAAATAAAATAAATAAAGTATACCAATTATTGTTACGGCAAGGCATACCCCGTCAGTCTTGGTGGCAAATGTCCACTTATTAACCAGGTACTGGTGGCATTCCTTGGCAAATATCCAACTGTGTGACTGTTCACGCATCTAGGAGTGCGACTGGCACCTCCTTAACGAGCAGCGACTTGCCACCAAGATTTACCAGACTTCCCACACCAAGCGGAAATCAGCAAGAAAAATGCTTAGACTGCAAATCAAAATCACATCACTTTCCTCTACCCTGTGACAGTTTTATAATGTGGCACAATCCAATCAGCACCCCCCTTTTTTTCCCTAGATATTGGCTGAGGCCAGTTTGCATGTGCAGGTTTGCACACAGTGTTGGCAGGATCACAGTAAGACTTGCATGCACAAACAAGCCATCAACATGCGTAACTCAAGAGTCACCCACTGGCCATCTCAGCTTGATACTTTTCATGAGATTCAGTGTTTGAATTGTGATCTCCAGGGGTTACGTGAGAAATCAAGCATCCACCCGACAGGTACAAACCAGACCCAAGGCTAAAAAGACTGAGAAATTTTAATGGGCAAAAGTTACAGGGAAGTAGAAGAAACCTTCTGCAGGTTTTCTAGGATTCTGTCTGCCAGCATATGGAACCCTTAAACTTGACTGGAAACAGTCACAGTTTTTGACCACAGAGGGCCAACTCATAGGCATCCTTCAGTCTCGAGAGACTATGGTAACATGCTCTGAATCAAGGAGTGTCCTCTCCAGAGCAGGAAGCCTGGGTAAAGTAGTATGGAGGATAAGAAACCTTCTGCAGGTTTTCTAGGATTCTGTCTGCCAGCATATGGAACCCTTAAACTTGACTGGAAACAGTCACAGTTTTTGACCACAGAGGGCCAACTCATAGGCATCCTTCAGTCTCGAGAGACTATGGTAACATGCTCTGAATCAAGGAGTGTCCTCTCCAGAGCAGGAAGCCTGGGTAAAGTAGTATGGAGGATAGGCTGTTACCCAAGCAGCAGATCCCCCCTCTCCACATTGCTGAAATGGTCCAGTGGAAAGGCAAGAGCCAATGCAACTGGTTCCAGCAATGTCGCAGGATTTTGCAGAACGACACGAACTGCCTTCCGGACTCCAGCTCCGGATTTGGCCTCTAGGTTAACTCCTGAAGCCTTTTCCATCAATGGATAAGGCAGTGGAGGTTTGAAATCGGAGTTTTCCTTCTATTAGATGGGCTACCTTCCATGGCTGACGAGCCCCACCTACCTGGCAGAGGGCCAACTGGATAACAAGAAATTACGTATGTACCTATCACGACCTGAATGCTGTTGGGGGGAAAATGTGTACCATAGCAATCATGCAAACCGTCTGTGCAATCTGGGTGTCTTGTTGCACAACCACCCACCCACAGGTTGCAAAATTGGTTATGAAGAGTTGCAAGATAGACATCCCATTAAAGTGTGCAAATTATGTGCATATTTACGGCAGGACTCTGGCCTATGTGTTATGATGATGATGATGGCTGTTAGTATAACCTAGCCTTTTACCGCCACTCCCCCCCCAAAAAAAATATATGTGCATTTTTTTCTATGCATGTTCCTGGACAAACACTTTCAGTTGCTTCTGTTGCAAAGACCAAACCAGCTCACTACAGAATGTGATTTCTAAAACGGCAAGGTGCTGCTTAAGCCACAGTTACCTTCATGGGCCCAAATGTGACGCTGCAGGTCTGATCCATTCTTCATGAAATAAAAATTGCAATAGGGGCATTTCACAGCTCGCTTTCCAATCAGCCCTTTCAGCTGAACCCTCCTGCCAACAATCTCAGAGATGGTGTTCATCGAAACTTCTGGAACGGCAAGAGAGAAGGGGGGGAAGCAGAGGAGTATGAGAAATAGACTAAGCTCTGCCTTCACTGATAACACATGTCAAAAATAAATAAAACAGAACATATTTAGATAGCCCTGTGTTGTATCTTTTAAGTGTATTTCCTTGGGCATTACTTTCTCTCCTGTCTTAAGGAAATAGTTCCATTAATTTGTGGCTTTTCTGGCACTGGCTGTTGCTCTTGTGAGTCGTCAGCTTCCACGGCAGCTGTTTCAGTGCTAAATTACAGCCTAGCTGCACCACCGGTGCAGAAACTGTTTTTCCTGTAGGGAGCATTCTCGGGCGGCCAATATCTAACAGGGCAGCTTTGCTAACCAAATATTTATGATCATCAATACTCTCAGAGAGACACATAACATTTGTTTAAAGTTTCGCCCGGGATTTCCAAGGGAGCCAGAAATATCCACACAGACAGCTTGTTAACAACTGCAGAAAGGCTTGCGAGTCCAGATGTGATGCTGCAATTGCTAGAAATCATGAAAAGGCTAGACTTTCCCGTCTCCATCCCGTATAATGATGACTGGCCTTAACACTGGTGTTTTAAAATATGTACCCAGCGAGTGCATTCTTATGGGAGGAACATGGCATAAAACAGTGGTCCCCAACCTTGGGTCTCCAGATGCTCTTGGACTTCAACTCCCAGAAATCCTGGCCAGCAGAGGTGGTGGTGAAGGCTTCTGGGAGTTGTGGTCCAAGAACATCTGGAGGCCCAAGGTTGGGGACCACTGGCATAAAACACAGAAATCACTGCAGGGACCGGGATTTGAACCGAGAGGTTGTCTGGGGCTGACGGCAGAGCTTATGTGTTCATGAGCAGTACAATCTCATGACTGTCTCTTAAGGAAAACTGTACATACAAGCAAAATATGTATGTTAGCAGAAAATGCACATGCAGAAAAACGCATGCAAATTTTCATGTGTCTTTAAAGTACTGCAACGTGATGCACCAATTGGATGGACCGGACTTATGAATAAGCGGAAGAGAAACGAATGGCATACCAAGTTATTTATATCATCTTCACTGCAGCACAGACCGAGCATCTAGTGGTGCAGGAGGTATGGCTTTAGCATCCAACTAATGTATTTTTCCATGTAAAAGACTATACTTTTGTCTAAAACCTTTAGACTAAAAATTGAGGGTCGTCTTATACACGGAAGCAAGCAGAGGAGAGAACAAAAACAAGTGGAGGGGAAAGCAGGGATCGAAGCGATCCTGCAGCGGTTTGATCCCTTTCCCCCTACATTTGCTAATCCCCACTTAGATTTCTTAATTTTGGATTAGAAAAGGGGGGGTGTCTTATACACAGAAAAAATACGGTACTTGCTACCCTCACTCAAAAGATTCATCCTCAGTTCCAAACACTTCATCTTTAAGTCTTGGGAAAAGCTTTGCTTTTCCTGGTCTCTATATGTCATCATACTATTAATACCATGGGAACTGGCCCGATAAACAAGCCTGTCATTCAAGACTTTCTATTCCCTTCACAAAGAATAACAAAATGATAAGTAGGAAATCTGAAGCACTTACAGTCTATTAGTAAAGCAGACCAGGCCATCAGTAATAGACCGGATTAAAAACCATCAGTGGGGCTTATCTTACCTGGATGGTTTGTCTTTATGTGTGATTTTATAAGTCGGTCTTCAGAAAATGATTTCTTACACACAGGGCAGGAATAGCTCCTTTTGTCCTTTAAAGAAATAAGAAAAGGTTATATCATCAGCTCACTGAGCTGATTACTAAACTCCCTGCATGCTGACTAATACACGCCTCCCAACAAGGTGACCACTGGAAGGCCCAGATGAGAATTTCAGCTGGTGTTATGAAAAGCAAAGAGCGGTTATCATGACAAGACTCACAAAAACCAAACTTCATTGCCACACTATGAATCTCGGAACAATTTGCAGCTTTGACGACCTACCCCTTCAAGGCAGAAGCAGAAATATCCTACATTGCAATTCCATATTGGCTTGGATGCTATGAAGGCAACAAATGGGAACGAAGTGGGAGAATAGAGTTCACTTATTTGAATTCCAGCCTGCGTTTCAAGAGGGCTGACTTCAGGCTGCAAACGGATCTCCCTGTGACTTCTTGGAGGGGGGTGGATTGTTGCAGGAAGTATAGATCCCTACTGTGGGAGTTCTTGCAAGACCGCATGGCTCTAAATGCAGAGATGGGAAACGCAAGCTCTCCAGAGGCTGTTCAACCACCAACATCATCCGTGGCTACAACGGCTAAACCTGCTGAGAACAGCAGTCCAGTCATACCTGGCCAACTACACCTTTCTCTGCTCCTGGCATTATCAGAAAGACCCATGTTCCAGAACAAGACCCTCTGAAGAGGCTCTGCTTTGAGGTCATTCCATCAGGAAATTAGACATCAAGGAAAGGGCTACAGGACCTGCAGCTCTCAACTCCAAGCAGGTCTTCAAAGATTTCAGCAAAGCAGCTTGAAACAGCTCTGTTTAGACTGGAAATAATGGAAGGCTTGCCGAGGAGCCAAAATGTTTTGCAATATTCCTGATGACATTTTCAGATTTCATTTTTCTTTCTTTCTCTGGCTTTACTTATATGTTTAACGGATACAATGAGACCTATTTCCAGGCAGTTTTAACTACAACTGAGCAGAGGGGCTGCCTCTGGAAAGTGTCAGGAAACTTCAGCAGGGGCAAAACACAGCAGCCAGATTGCGAACTGGGGCTGGACATGGGGATCACACACACACACACACACCACAACAGCTCCACTGACTGTCAGCCCATTTCCAGGCAGAATTCATAGTGCTGGTTCTAACCTATGAAGCCTGAAACAGCTGGAGGGCAAGGTATCTCAAGGACTGGATCTCTCTTTACAAGCCTGCCCGGGTGTGAATATCCTCATAAGAGGCCTTTCTCTCAGTCCCACCACCTTAACAGGTTCGCTTGGTGGGGACCACAGGAGACGGCCTTCCCTGTCGCTGCTCCCAGACTCTGGAACTCCCTCCCACAGGAAGCCAGCCTGGCCCCATCTTGGTGGCCCTTCTGCAAGCAGGCAAAGACCTTTCTGTTTGGCCAAGATTCCCTGAATGACCTGAGTGGCATTTTTAAATAGATGGTTGTGCTTTACTGCTTTCAATGTGTTTTTGGTATTGCTTTTCTTTTACCATTTGGTGTGTATGTATGGATATTTGCTTGCTCGATCCTTTTTACTATTTCTGTACTTAGTACTTTTAACTTTAAATATTGTCTTTTAATGAGGTAAACTGCCTTAGGTTCTTCTTAAGGAAAAAGGCAGGGTAAAATCAATGTGTTTTTGGTGTTGCTTTTCTTTTACAATTTTGTGTGTGTGTGTGTGTGTATATTTGCTCGATCCTTTTTACTATTTCTGTACTTAGTACTTTTAACTTTAAATATTGTCTTTTAATGAGGTAAGCTGCCTTAGGTTCTTTTTAGGGAAAAAGGCAGGGTAAAAATATGTTACATACATACATACATGTTGTTGCTTAGTCGTTAAGTCGTGTCCGACTCTTCGTGACCCCATGGACCAGAGCACGCCAGGCCCTTCTGTCTTCCACTGCCTCCCAGAGTTGGGTCAAATTCATGTTGGTCGCTTCGGTGACCCTGTCCAACCATCTCATCCTCTGTCCTCCCCTTCTCCTCTTGCCCTCACTCTTTCCCAACATCAGGGTCTTTTCCAAGGATTCTTCTCTTCTCATGAGATGGCCCAAGTATTGGAGCCTCAGATTCAGGATCTGTCCTTCCAGTGAGCACTCAGGGTTGATGTCCTTCAAAATGGATAGGTTTGTTCTCTTTGCAGTCCAGGAATTGTTACACATTGTTACACTGGATCCATTGTCTTTCAGCAAATGTCAAAGAGGAATTCAGTTCTCGATCTCTACATTCTGCTATTTCTTAGAGAATGAAGAGAAGCTACAAGGGAAGGGATTCTAAGTGCGATAGGTTATCTTCATAACGAAGCCAGATCGTTCAGAAACCAATAAATAAATGAACAAAACCTCATGTGCATTACAAATCCAGAGTGAAGCTGATGAGTTTTGAGATTCTAACTCAATCTTCAACATATGGACAGAGTTCAGCCAGGACTCCTGGGAACTCTAAAGGCTGGGAAAGATGCAATGCTACGCTTCTGCAAATGCCAACACTCGCTGGATGAAAAAGCAAAATGCCAAGAGAGACGAGGGATAAAAACATACAGGTCCTGCGAAGAAGCTAGGAGAAGGCAAGAGAACGTACCTTACACAAAGGAAAGCAGGAGATGCTATCTGGTATCTCTGAGGACTCTGGTATGCTGGCTAGTTGGAATAGCATGGTTATCTCTACATAGCTTCCCTTGGCAAGCTGTATGCATTCGAGAGAGAGAGAAAGCGCTTCCAACAATGAGCTTTAACAAGATCAAACGGAGAATCTTGATGGATTGACAACCATCTTCAAAGTGTCTCCAAATATGCAATTCTTGAATGGCAGGCTAGAATTTTCCCCACATTTCCCCAAATACAAGAGGATTACAGGTATTTCCTGATCAAAACAACATACAATGCACACAACCTTCTAAGAAAAAAAATATATGCGTTATTTTTCAGCAGTAACGTCTTATGAAAAAAGGCATCTTCACAAGTGACAATTCGGAGCTGTTCGAAACGTGAATGTGGGGGGAAAAAGGATGAACTTGGGGACAAACAGGCAAGGGGGTGGTGAGGCAGGCAAACAGGCACAGTAGCAAAGGGAATGCACCTGAGAAGTGGAAGATAACAGATTGGTTGTGGGTTTTTAGGGGTCTTTGGCCGTCTTCTGAAGGTTGTTCTTCCTAACATTTCGCCAGTCTCTGTGGCTGGCATCTTCAGAGGACAGCACTCTGATCAGAGTACAGAGTGCTGTCCTCTGAAGATGCCGGCCACAGAGACTGGCGAAACGTTAGGAAGAACACGGCCAAAGAGCCCGAAAAACCCACAACAACCATTAGATCCCGGCCGTGAAAGCCTTCGTGAATACACAGATAACAGATTGTTATATGGCTCTCTTCATAGTTGCACATTCTTCCCCTGATGACTGCACCCAAGGGTGACTGGTAGACTATGCAAATAAGTTTCTGGATCTCAGACACCATAGAGACTTCAAGCCATGTAATAAAAACTCATACCCAATGCTTCCTCCAAAGTCACATGTTCAAAGATGGCAAGTTGAAAGTCACCCTTACCAGTTCCACAGACTACTATCTTCAAAGGGAATTACGATCTTCGTAGATGGACATTCATGTTGTCTTTCTCAACAGATTGGTTCCTCAGAGGAGACCTGTGAGATCTTCACAAAGTCTTGCCAAAGCCATTGTCTTCAAGGGTTGTCCATGTGGCAGCTTCCATCATGCGCCATTTTTTTGCAAAGCATTCTTTCTCTGCTGCACAATGAATGTGTTCCTGTGTAATTATTTCAGGGTTAATTGCTCTAGTGGCCCTTCTGATTTTTTTTTTCAGTTGGAGACTTTGCATTCTCGAACTTATCTGGGCAACATGTAGATAGTCCTGAGGAAAATCTTCCATCACAGATGAGGGACTCATCATTAGGATGAAGAACGTCTCTCAAGGATTCATAAAAGATTGCTTTATGATAAAAAAAAGGTCATCACATTCTCTATACCTGCATCCTCCCTTGGCAAACAGAGGGCTATTTTATCCCGTGCTTAACAGAACTTCTGCCTTTAGAAATGTCTTTGAAGACTTCAGAAGGAGATAAGGAAAGGTCAAATATTCTACAATGGCACTTTTGCGGCGACAGTGACAGGCAAGGGATTCAGAACGTGCCTAAACCCTGCACACTGAATAGTCCTTAACAATCTTTCTTGTTTTTCTTTGCCATTCAAAGAGGTACAATTGGGAAACTGAGGCTAGGAAATAATGGCATGCCAAGAGTCTTGAAACAGGTGAGTTCAGATGGCTATGTGTACTTTAGTGAAAGTCTCGGAGCGTTGCAACTTCATGGAAGTGTTCTTCTAGAATAAAAATGGGGTTGGTTGCACATCAGCATAGATGCTGACTTCAATAATTCAGAAACAGCCTCAAAAATCACTCTCTTTGTCAAAAAATCTCACAGATTTGGTGTGTGACCGAAATTGACTCAGGATCCTATCCCAACACTCCAATAAGACTAAATCACAGATTGTCTCAGAACTAAAACATCACCTCTGTCAAAAAAAATAGTACATTTCTGAACCTTGGAATGCAGTTTATCCTCTTCACAGAATAAGTAAAATGTGTAGATTTCAAACAGTATGCAGAAAAATACATATATTGGGAGAAAAGGCACTCATTTTTAAGTATTTTATTTTGCTGCAGAATAAAACCTCCCCTGAACAATGCCTCTGTTGGCAAAACGGCATGCAGAAATGCACATATTTGAACATGATAAACATCCGTGCACTTTAAAAAAAAAAGGACACAGAAGCCTGTCAAAAATTATGACAGGGTGAAAAAAAAATTAAAATCCAGTGCACAAATTCTGCAGTGGAAAACTGAGAAATGAACCCTGTCCCTATGGAAGACAGGAACTTCCATGTGCCTAATAGAATAATTCAGGCAATACGTAGGTGTATTGCTTTACCGGACCAAGTGCAGCATTTCTCTGCTACATCTGAGCCCAAAATCTTTGTCTACTGTGCATCTGCTTTACAAGGGGGGGAGATCACATAACAATTTTTCAGAGCACACTGAACTGGCACAAGGAGCACCAATACCGAGTCATTCGGACAAATGTAGAGACTAGTCACTAATCAGATCTCCCGGAGTGTCAATATACTCCACCAAAACTGCATATTCTTCTGCTATCGTCTCAAGCCTCTCTCCCCCTTTCTTGTCACATTTATTTTATGTCTTCTTTCTCCTGTTAACCCTGGTTCCTGAACAGTCCGATGAAGGAAAGCCTGATGGTTGTTGTGGGTTTTTTCGGGCTCCTTGGCCATGTTCTGAAGGTTGTTCTTCCTGACGTTTCGCCAGCCTCTGTGGCCGGCATCTTCAGAGGAATAGGAGGAGGCACTCAGTGCTGCAAATGTTGCGAATAAAATTCCATAAGAGGACAGGAGTCAGAACTCTGTGCTGCAAATGTTGTGAATAAAATTCCTTGCACACTGCTGTCGACACATGCCACCTGGTTCTGCAAAGTGTGGTATTTCTCAAAGTGGCCGTTCATTAGGTCTACTTCTGTCTTTCTGCTTCCCTGCTTCCATTAGAGAAGCTCAAGGCTGAAAAGCCAGAGAGCCCTCGAAAACGGGAAGCCAAAACAGGTCGAGGTCTGTAGTGTTCTGCACGGTTCCTCGTTCTCGGAACAGGAAATGCTAACAAGGGCACTGAACCTCTTTCTGCATGGAGGCTGCTCTTGTGACCGGAGAAACAGAGAAGAAACAGAATCTAGGCTGCCGGCGTAACAGATCTTCCACTCAGACTAGCCACCGCATGGAGGCTGCTCTTGTGACCGGAGAAAGAGAGAAGAAACAGAATCTAGGCTGCCAGTGTAACAGATCTTCCACTCAGACTACAACAACAAACACCATTTTCCTTCTCTGTGAGAAGCACTTTTAGATTCCTCCCACAACAGAAGAAACATGGGTCATTTCCTCCATACCTTCCGCGTAAACCTTCGTAGCAAAGAAACGTGGATTTCAAAAGTGGATTCTTAGGGTCAAACACACTCAAATCAGGAGAAGGATGTGGTGTGCGTATTACTGGGCTGCACCATTCCAGAAGGCAAAGGGGGGGATGATGACGTGAAAGTGTCCACATCATTCAGAAAAGAAACAGTTCTCCCAACACATGTCAAACTTTCATCATCATCAACATCATCACAAAACTGCAGAGCTGGAAGCAACAGTATGGATTGTTGAGCCCAGCCTCATCATCATCATCATCATCATCATCAACATCATCACAGAACTGCAGAGCTGGAAGCAACAGTAGGGATTGTTGAGTCCAGCCCCTTCCAAGGAGGCAGGATGGGGAATCCAACTCCCAACCACTGGCTCTACAGCCAGAGACTTAAACCACCGAGCTATCCAACTTTTAAGATAGGGAAGCCATGGAAAAGGGATGTCGTTGACCCTCACCCCAGTCCAGAAGAATGCAGCCTCAAGTATATTTGAGGATGGAAGACACATAGCAATGGTGAACCTATGGCACGCATCCCACAGCTGGCGCACACAGCCCTCTCCGTGGGCGTACGAGTCATAAATTGCCATCAAAAATACATACCCATCCGCCAATTTCGGTACTCCCCTCTGCTGGTGCAGTGGTCCAGCAGAGGGGTGCAATGGCAGCCATTACGAGTCTAGCCCGACGGGGGGAATGGAGGACCAATGAGTATTTCTCTGTTAATAATACCCCTAGGGGGGAAAAAAAAACCCAAGCATTTAACCCTTGAGGTGCAGGCCAGTTGTTTTTTTCTAAACTAAAACCTCAGTATTCAGGTTAAATCACAGTGTTGGCACTTTCAAATAAATAAGTCGGCTTTGTGTTCAAGTTTGGGCACTCGGCCTCACCATCACTGCTCTAGATCCAGTGATTTCATTTAAAAAAAAATATGAATGAGCTTCTCAATGAGACCCTAATTTCCATCTTAAGTCTGAATTGAATGGAAGGCTTGTGTGGTTTTAAGCACTACACCTATTTTATTTTATTTTACTTTAATGCTCTTTCCTTCCTCCTCAATGATTATTAATGTGAAAAGTTCTAGAGAAATAAAAAACCTTGGATAGGTTTTGAATGTATTGCATTGATTTTAATAAAATGAATCGCCACCATTGCAGAGGAATGTAAAGGAATTCTGTGTTAGTCCTATGGTTCCACGACCCCTCCACCCCACCCCATAAATGAGAAAGCAAAGTTTGGCTGCTGAGATTGACCAAAAACTGGCATCCTGGCAGGAGATCCTGGGTAACATCACCTTCTTATGAGCAGAGAAGAAACCAATGGAAGTGTTTGTCTACCAGGAAAATCTGTTACAACGCATTTGTCTAGGAAATAGCTATGTTTAGTAGTCTTTACTCCCTGAAACAGAGGTTTGGTGGCTGTCTTTCTTTTATCCCCAGGACAGATGTAGAAAACCTCCCTGCTATCTTCAGCCATTGGGCTACATTTAAACTTATATATAAAGCTGTAGGTAACTATCTGACTCAACATCAAAAAAACACTAAGATCATGGCCACTGGTCCCATCACCTCCTGGAAAATAGAAAGGGAAAATACAGAGGCAGTGACAGATTTTTACTTTCTTGTGCTCTATGATCACTGCAGATGGTGACAGCAGCCACGAAATTAAAAGATGCCTGCTTCTGGGGAGGAAAGCGATGGCAAACCTAGACAGCATCTTAAAAAGCAGAAACATCACCTTGCCAACAAAGATCCACATAGTGAAAGCTATGGTTTTTCCAGTAGTCGTGTATGGAAGTGAGAGCTGGACCATAGAGAAGGCTGACTGCCGAAGAATTGATGCTTTTGAATTGTGGTGCTGGAGGAGACTCTTGAGAGTCCCCAGGACTGCAAAGAGAACAAACCTATCCATTCTAAAGGAAATCAACCCTGAGTGCTCACTGGAAGAGCAGATCCTGAAGCTGAGGCTCCAATAATTTGGCCATCTCATGAGAAGAGAAGACCCCTTGGAAAAGACCCTGATGTTGAGAAAGTGTGCGGGCAAGAGGAGAAGGGGGCGACCGAGGATGAGATGGTTGGACAAGGTCATTGAAGCGACCAACATGAGTTTGACCCAACTCCGGGAGGCAGTGGAAGACAGGAGGGCCTGGCGTGCTCTGCTCCATGGGGTCACGAAGAGTCAGTCATGACTTAACGACTAAACAACAACAAGAACACAACTATCTGACAGAAACAAACACACTGAGAACCAGCATCTGGTGAGAAAACAAATGGTGAAAATAAAAACTAGGAACATAACCTGATACCAAGCTCAAATGTTATCTGAAAAACAAATTTAACTGAAAAAAAAATCTTCTCGTAAGTCGAATGAAATGACTCCAATAAACACAAGGCATCACAACATGCATTTATAAAAGGATTCTTTCCTTTTTCTTTGAGCTTTCTACTGCTTTCTCAAAATCTATCCTTTAGCTTCTGAAACCACAGTAGTTAGTCTGAGTAGGAGGTAAACTTCACCATTTTTTCTTTTTTTCATACAGAAATTCTAACTGTTGGAGGTATTGGCCAATAGTCCAGCTCCCGTCAGCATCAAAGAGATTTAAGAACATTAGATGTATCGTGTCTGACTCTTGCTTTTAAAAGAAACACAGTAATAAAGGCTGTAAACAGATAAGGGGGGAAGAGTACATTTTCCACTTGAATTGCACAGGTTTGAATAGCTTGGTTTTGGTTATACATGGATTTTTTTCAATAAATATACCAACAAACAAGCATTGAACAAATAAATATTCAGTAAATACTGTGCCCCTGACAACCCAGAACCCCATGAATCCAAACAGTGAAGACATCAAAGTGGCCTACTTACCCCAAACACAACATCTATAATTCAGCCTCTAGATGAAAGGGTCATAAAGATTTTTAAGGCTTATGACACACAGTCCTGTATGGAAAGGACTGCCAACACTACAGAAGAGAACCTTTATAGAGAGAACTCTTCTGCCTAAAGGTGTTTGTATGTGTGTGTGAAAGAGAATCAACTATTTATGCTTTGTAGTTATGTTTTTTGGGGTATATAGAGTTATGGAATTTGACCCAACTCCGGGAGGCAGTGGAAAACAGGAGGGCCTGGCGTGCTCTGGTCCATGGGGTCACGAAGAGGTGGACATGACTTAACAACTAAACAACAACAACGAAGAGTTATAGATAGATTTTGATCAACATGGGGGCCTCACACCCCTAATCCTAGCATGGTTAAAGGTGGAAGTGTATAGAGAACACTTTTAGGGTCCACCAGAAGAGCCTCAAACTGGCTTCATCAGAGCTTTTTTGCTGCTGTTAAAACTGGAAGAACTTGAAAACAAGACATTTCTCCAGAACAGCTTTTTAGCTGCCCAAACTTTTACAAATGTGGATGTCACTGCTGTAAATTTGCTGGTGGAGGGGGTGGCATGACCAGGGGAACTTCCACATTCTCCATCCTTCCTTTAGATACATCTTAGTCTCTTTAACCTGTGTAGCAGAAATCAAGTTACCCAAATTCAACTGATACCTTTTGCTTTTATAATCACCCTCTTCATAGCCAAGATGGGATCCTAGTAAGGAGACACTGCTACTCCCTTTATAATTCTACTGGTAACCTACAATTATTCACCCCAAATTCAGAGTTTTCTAGGGCTAAAAGAAAGCTAGACACTACGATAGGCTTCTCTTAACAAATACACGGTACCAGTAAAAACCTGGAGAATTTTAGAAAGCAGATAGCAAGAGAGCTGTACACAAGCAACTTAGATGTCGCATTGCGCGAAACAGCAGAATGATGTCATGGTTTGTGACTTACTCTGTACAGAACATAGCAACTTTAACCAGAAATATTGGCAACAACTCACACTTACCAGCTCTGTGTGCACTTTCAGATGAGCCTGGAGTTTGTATTTATCTGGAGTGGAATAATCACAGTCTTCGGTGGGACATTTCAACAAAATGTTGCTATGCTTCTGGACGACATGCCGCTTCAGACAATTTTTGGTGATGGAGGAGTAGCTGCACTGAGAGCAATAGTAGAGGTGTTCTCGTGTATGCGTACGGACATGCATGTCGTAATGGACCTGGTACCAAAATAGCTTGCCTGAAAAAAAAACAGGGTAGATACAAAACAAGGTGAGTGGAAAGTACTTCAGCTTGTGAACCGAATGTCTGAAGCGACATGACTTGGACCCTGATCGTGGTAAGCAGAGAGAGTTTGAGAAAGTGTGGCCATTGGACTACAGTTTCGAGAACACACACCCCCCAGGGAATCCCTGGAAAAGACCCTGATGTTGGGAAAGTGTGAAGGCAAGAGAAGAAGGGGATAACAGAGGACGAGAGGGTTGGACAGTGCCATCGAAGTGACCAACATGAATTTGAACCAACTCCGGGAGTCTTCTCTTCTCATGAGATGGCCAAAGTATTGGAGCCTCATCTTCAGGATCGCCTGGAACAGGAACTGGCAAGCCACTCCAATATCTTTGCCAAGAAAACCCCATGAACAGAAACAAAAGGCTAAAAATCAACCCTAAATTAATTTTAAAAAATAATCTGATTATTTTTGATTATTCAAAAAATTTTTAAAATATTTCTTTATTTAAAATGTGGTTTAAATAAATCAGATTTTTTTTAAAAAATTGATTTTTATCCACTGGTCATTGGGTGATGTTTTTAGTAATTTTAGTATGGTTTGTCTTTTTTTTTTGTTTTCGTTTAAAGCTGACACAGTAAAAATGATTAATGCTTACTTATAAGGAAACAAAACTTGCTTTTTCTTTTTCTGTTTCCTAGGCAGAGAATAAAGCAAACCTTTCAGCTGGGTTGCACGTCCCAAGCAGTATCAAGGCTGCTCTCCTGCATTCGCCCAACCCCACCCTCCAAACTTTGCATGCTCCTCACCGCAATATTCACACTCCAAATCTCCATAGACCTTCCTGATCTTTTCGCAAAGGGCAGTGTTCATTTGCCGTTTTTGCAAGCGGTCCAAAATCTGCATAAAGGCTGCCGCTCCAGTCTGGTTATCTGTAGGCTGTGGGCAAGAATCAGAAGTCTCGCCGAGCACTTCCTCAGTTTCTGGAGGAAGCGGAGGGAGGGAGGAGCCTGCCTTCCCAGGCATTGACTCATTAGCTTCTGGATCATTAAGATGGATGGTTTCACCCATTTCTTCGAGATCGGGAGCACACTGCGGAACCTGGCAATGCAACTTCACCTCGGAGCTCCCATCGCCCGACAGCTGAACGTCTTCTTCACATTGCTCCTTCCCTGATAGGTCACTGGTGGCTTCAGCTTCCGTTTCAAGAAGAGGCCTTTCCTCATCTGAACCAGAAGGAGCACTTCCCTCCTTTTGGAGGAAGTCATCCGAAGCGCTAAGCGGGCATGCATCCAAGGACGTTAATTCCACTGATGACTGGCACAAAGGATCCGTTGCATCTTCAGCGGGAGGGCTTTCAAGATCTAAATGTGAAGCGGAAGCTTCTGGCTTGCCACCAGGGTTATCGGATTGACTTCCCTCCATGGCATTCAGTTCCTCTGGGCCTCCCGGTGTCTTTGCTACGCAAAGCTCTTTGGAATTTAGGAGCGAGAGTTCTGTGGCCATTGGTGATGTCTCCTCTCCGAGGGCTTCTTGCTGGATGTCCCCTCCTGGTTCCAGGAGGCAAAAGCTCTGGTTGATTGAACTGTCGAAGACAGACGTCTCTGCCAAGTCCCCGTGCTCTTCTTTGATGTGCGCCCGGAGCCGGATGGAGCTGACAAATTTCTTGGAGCATTCGCTACAGACGTACACAAAAGGATGCTTTCGGACGTGAAGCTCCAGGGCTTGGTACTTCGTGGCTCCGTGGCCGCACAGCTCGCAAGCAAAGGGCCTCTCGTCCCCGTGGACAAGCATGTGCCTGTCACGGTCCAGTTCGTTTTTGAACCTGCGCTCGCAGGTATGACAGTCGTACAAGAGCTGCCTCTTGCCTTCTCGAGTCATCAAGCACAGCTCGTCAAAGACGTCCTTCACTTTCTTGTCGAGCAAGTCATGGGCTTCCTTGATATGCCTGATCAGGTTCTTGACGTCGGAGTACTTCTTCTTGCAGAAGCGGCAGTGCTGCTTGATCTTCTTGTGGACACGCTCCACGTGGACCTTGAGGTGGCCTTTGCTCAGGCACGTGAACGGGCAGCAGTCACACGCAAACTTCTCCCCCGTGTGCTTGCGCAGGTGAACGTTCAGGTTGGCCTTGATGGCGCTGGCGTAGCTGCAGAAGGAGCACTTGTACGGCTTCTCGTTGGTGTGGATCCGTAGGTGGGCCTGAAGGGAGTGCTTGAATTTGAACACCTTATTGCAATATTCGCAGGTGAAAATCTTCAACTGAGTCGCGCCTAACCTATGGAGAAGCACAAGTATAATGCAAATGACCTAATGCCCTAAGAGAGAAGCAGGCAAACAGAAGCTAAACGGCAATATCAGGCTGATAAAGGCTGAGCGGATGCTCGCTGTGCCTACATTTCCTATCAGCAGGAAATTGGGGGGGGGGGAGAGGAGGGAGACAGACCCTCCTCAGGTTGACGTAATCCCTTGACGTTTGCTTTCCTCAGTTCTGAGGGAGAAGGCATAGGTCAAGATATATTTTAGTATTGCTTAGAACTGTTTAGCTGTAGGAGATTTACCAAAAAAAAAAGCAAAGCATGCTGCATATATACTGCCTTATACAGGGGTGCCCTGCTTAACGATTACCCTATATGATGACGAATCCGCTTCCCGACGATGGGTTCCCTGCTTCGGGAACTGATTCTTCGCAGTACCACGATCAAAACAGCTGATGGCTGAGTTTTCAAAATGGCCGCCAGCTGCTCAAAATGGCTCCCTGCTGTTTTTACGAGGAATTTTTCGCTTCACAGGCACCCGAAATGGCTGCCCTATGGAGGTTCTTCGCTGGAGGAGCAGGTATTTTGCCCATTCGAACGCATTGAATGGTTTTCAATGCGTTTCAATGGGCTTTTTTATTTCGCTTAACAAGGATTTTGCTCTACAGCGATTTTGCTGGAACAGATTATCCTCGTCAAGCGAGACACCACTGTAGTGCTTGAAGCATTCTCTGGGTGGTTTACATGTTCATATGCAGGCTACACATGGTGCCCCCTGCCCCAGCAAAACGGGTACTCATTTTACCGACCTTGGAAGGATGGAAGGCCGAGTGATCCTTGAGCCAGCTACATGGAATTGAAGCCCAGGTCACGAGAAGAGTGTGGCTGCAGTACAGCAGTTTAAACGTTGCACCACGAGGCTCGCTTTATAGATACATGTCCATGCATAAAATGGAATCTCAACTACCCTACTAGCATAAAACAAAAATGTTATGAAAATTCTCAGCACTAATATAATGAGTCTAGAAAACAGATGATGAGGATTACCATATTTCATGAGCCAGCCTTCCTAGGTGGCTCCATTGCCTAGTTTCTTATAGGAAAAGAAGAAATCCCAGTGGTTCATATTATATACATAGCATAAATCAAAATGCCCAGGGTCTCCTGAAAGAACATTTGTGCTGCGTATTGAAACAAACTGCTGAAATGATTCTCCTGAAAATAATTTTTCCCTCCTGGGTAGTTAGTCTCCAAATAATCTTCCTCGAAATGTAGCTTTCAGCTGTATGGTTTCCTTTGACATTTCAGGAGGTGTAATGTTGCCCCACAGAATGTAGCAGAACTTTGTTTAAAAAATGCAAGTTACCGGCTTGATTTCATTGGCTGCTCATAAGGAATCTGTTGAATTGCATATTCCTGATACCCTCTTCGCCGGGAGGCATCCGAAGTGGTTGTCTCTGGATTGGCTGCTTGCTCGGTTTCTGGAGACTCAGCCTCCACTGGAATTATTTTTGTAGCTCCTGCAAGCAAATTAAAAGCATATCATTTATTAAGATGAGCAACATGATGTAATTCTACACAACAGTAACTACAGCCCTATTAGTTATTGACTAATCGTTCAAAAACATGTATATGTGACTGATGCTCTTGGTTGTCTCTGGATTGGCTGCTTGCTCGGTTTCTGGAGACTCAGCCTCCACTGGAATTATTTTTGTAGCTCCTGCAAGCAAATTAAAAGCATATCATTTATTAAGATGAGCAACATGATGTAATTCTACACAACAGTAACTACAGCCCTATTAGTTATTGACTAATCGTTCAAAAACATGTATATGTGACTGATGCTCTGTTGTCAATTATCATGTATATTTAACGAAGGAAGGAAGGAAGGAAGGAAGGAAGGAAGGAAGGAAGGAGGGAGGGAAGGGAAGGGAAGGGAAGGGAAACTTTGGAACTAAAATTTATTATGAGCTGTAGAGACCTCAAACCAGTAGTACATACAAAAGAAGCAAAAGGCCTTTTTACACATTCTTCCTTGGAATAAAATGTGCTAGATGTGGGATCAAAGTTACTCTAGATTTAGCCTTAGTAGCAGAAAAAAATCAATTTTTAATTGGAAATCTGGGCATCTAACTTGGTATTTGTCATATGTACCAGACAGGACATTTGCAGGAGAGAAATGGCAGAACCATCCTCAATAAGCAAAAATATAACTTTGAAACTACCAACTGAAGCCACCTCCTGTAGGATTTGGAAATGAGAGACAATTGCAGACAACAGCCTCCCTCCCACTCACTGATTTTTCCCTTGCAAGTCTCTCAACTCACAATATTATATGCATGGAGCAACATGCATTAGCCAGGATAATATCCACGCTGGAGGCATTTTATAGAAAACTGGACAACCCTCCGTCAGATCTGCTTTGATCTGGATTCTTGCACGGAGCAGGCGGCTGGAATTAATAGCTTTATAGGCCCCTTCCAACTCCATTATTCTATAATTCTATGATAGTAGTACTTTATCTTATACATTTACACTAGAGATGGGGGTATTCGTATTTATATTCATATACCGATATCTCCGCACAGGTGGCGTTAACGAGGGTCCAGTCCCATGGGGCTGGATGGTCCACTCATTGATCCACTGCAGATGCGGACTGTGCGTTTCTACCAATGATCCACGGTGCGCGATCTGCTTGCTGCTCCTGACAAGCCTCACTTCAAGGTTGAAGAGTGGTGAGCAGATCATGCGCCGCAGAGCCATTGGTAGAATCATGCAGTCCACATCCGCGGTGGATCGGTGAGTGGACCGTCTGGCCCCATGGGACTGGACCCTCGTTAACGCCACCTGTGCGGAGATATCGGTATATGAATATAAATACGAATACCCCCATCTCTAGTGTAAATGTATAAGATAAAGTACTACTATCATAGAATTATAGAATAATGGAGTTGGAAGGGGCCTATAAAGCCATTAACTCCAGCCGCCTGCTCCGTGCAAGAATCCAGATCAAAGCAGATCTGACGGAGGGTTGTCCAGTTTTCTATAAAATGCCTCCAGCGTGGATATTATCCTGGCTAATGCATGTTGCTCCATGCATATAATATTGTGAGTTGAGAGACTTGCAAGGGAAAAATCAGTGAGTGGGAGGGAGGCTGTTGTCTGCAATTGTCTCTCATTTCCAAATCCTACAGGAGGTGGCTTCAGTTGGTAGTTTCAAAGTTATATTTTTGCTTATTGAGGATGGTTCTGCCATTTCTCTCCTGCAAATGTCCTGTCTGGTACATATGACAAATACCAAGTTAGATGCCCAGATTTCCAATTAAAAATTGATTTTTTTCTGCTACTAAGGCTAAATCTAGAGTAACTTTGATCCCACATCTAGCACATTTTATTCCAAGGAAGAATGTGTTGGAACCATTCTCTGGGGAAATGAAGTTATTCAGACATGATCATTATGGGGACTATGAAAAGAGAAGTCGAGGTGTGGGAGCAGCTTTAGAAAAGCGTAGAATCTAGATACATCCAAAAGGTTGATCAGCAAATGAGATAAGTAGTGACTTGTAGTCACTCACTCTTTACATACATTTCAGGGCTTTAATAAGGATACTTTCCTTCCCAGTTTCCAATGAGATGGGACATCTAACATCACACCAGCACTCACGGATAAGAGAATGGCAGGGGCAAGAGATGGGTCAGATGTATAGAACAGCGGTTCCCAACCTTTTTCAAGTAGTGACTCCCTTTTATATTCGCCAAGTAACCTGTGCGCCTCCCCGCCAAGTCTGCATAAAAAGGAATTTTAATGGGGTAAAGTCACCCCTTCTCAGAAAATAGAGGCTTCTTTCTCCTTCAAAGGTTCTGTTTCTCATGCATACATAAACATGCTAACTTTAATATTCAGCTCTGAAAGGTCAAGGACGAAATTATTTAACATGAGCAGGGGACGACAGAGGATGAGATGGTTGGACAGGGTCATCGAAGCTACCAACATGAATTTGACCCAACTCCGGGAGGCAGTGGAAGACAGGAGGGCCTGGCGTGCTGTGGTCCAAGGGGTCACGAAGAGTCGGACATGACTTAATGACTAAACAACAACAACAAATAATCACTAATTATAATCAGTACATATACACTAGCCTTTTGACTTGATTTGTGCTCCACTGAGAGCCTACAGGTTGGTGCCCGACCTCCCCCAGGCCGTTGGTGGTACCCCAACCCAATCTGATGTTAGGAAAGGGTTAAAACAAGAGGAGAAGGGGACGACAGAGGACGAGATGGCTGGACAGTGTCACCAAAGCTACCAATATGACTTTGACCCAACTCCAGGAGGCAGTGGAAGACTGGAGGGCCTGGCATGCTGTGGTCTGTGAGGTCATGAAGAGTCCAACACGACTGAAGGACTAAACAACAACAACAACACATATTGGGAAGCACCAATCTAGGAGGACTTAAGAATGGGTCAAGGAACCAGAGCAGGCCACTGTGACCAGAATGGTCTTTACCCCTTCTCGTTTCTGCCCTCTACAAATGTTCAGGGCTAAAGTCTTAAGACTGTGTCTTCTTCAGGACTGGAATGAGATAGTAGCCTTGTATACAAAGATTCCTATTTATGCATTGTTTGGGGAACTAGGGATCACTCTTACAAGTGGACTTCCATTTCGGCAATTAGAATTCAGCTGCCATGCTAATGATTGACTTGAAGTGCTGACTTGTCCTTTGGTGAATGGATTGCCTAATGAAATCAAAAAGCCAGAGTAAATGTGGGAATATACTATTCTGGACGACTGACTCTACTAGCCAGCCAAGCCACAAGCTTTTTATGACACCGCACTAAGGCACAACTGCATTACAAGACCAATATATTGTCATTTGGGAAAGGAAGGTCCTGCAAAAATTTATGCTAGGCTCTTAAGACAAGGGGCCTAATGGAGGATTAACTGGATGGCTGGAGAGATAAAGAGATATCTTTGTTGCCTGCAATGTTAAGGCTACGAAGGTGAGAAAAATCAATGGGAAAATTCTCTCTGTGTTTTTCAAGTCAGCCCTTCACGGCACCTCAAACAAATTCAAAATATAGTGTTTGGGATTTTGGAATTTGGTGCTTAGAAACAACAGCATTTGACACTCTTCCCCCCCCCTTCCCCCAGATCAGGAAAAAAAATGAAACAAGATCCTAAGTTCAAAGCCTAGTTCTCTGATTCTCAGTTGCAGGAATAGAAGGCAAAGGTTTAGACATGCCTATCCTCAACTCTACATGCACATTAAGCCTTTACTTTGCAAGATCTGAGTTAAGTGCAAGTAAAATCTTTAGGAGAGGCGAGGACAAGTCCACTTTGTGGCTGGTTAGGCATTTAGTCATGTCCGACTCTTCGTGACCCCATGGACCAGAGCACGCCAGGCCCTCCTGTCTTCCACTGCCTCCCGGAGTTGGGTCAAATTCATGTTGGTTGCTTCGATGACACTGTCCAGCCATCTCATCCTCTGTCGCCCCCTTCTCTGCATTAGGGCCCATGTTTTTGGGGAGCTGTTCTGGTTACTCTAACAACTTCTTGAAAATAAAAAGCATTCTCTGTTCCCACAAGTGAACAGTCACCTGGAATAGCTTCATGGGCTGTCAAAAAGACGCTTATAATAGGGTTCTTAGCTCCGGCGACCTGGTCTGCTTCTTTCGCAGAAAAACTCTTCTCCGTCCTCTGGAGACGCTGCCTCTTTGGCGCTTTTTCTCGCTCGTCTTCCCTCCTGTCAAGGTCAACGTCAGAATCATTACCTAGAGACCAAAACATCAAAAATAACGTAAAAGGATGATTGTGAAGCTTTCTTCTCTAGTACATTACTGGACACCATCAATGGGCTAAGGAAGTATTCTGTTTTGTTGCTGTTATTATTATTACTATGGATCATTCAATACATTTTACGCCTCACTGACGAGCTTGGAGTAACTAGTCACATGTAACAGTTATCTGCAACTTGTTACTTTTAGGTATAATCAAGAATTACAAGTTACTTTAGGTATAACAATAAGGATCCCCTAGTTACTTTTAAAAAGATAGTTGTAAATGACATTTTTAGCCATTTTTAGGAACATTTTTAAATAGTCTGTTCAAGCTTTATGACAGTTTCTTATCCACCATAGATGCCAAAGGAAGTATTATTTTGTTTTGTCCTCTTCTCTGTATTTTTATAAGAACTTCCAATGGGTGCCATCTGAGTTGGCCACCAGAGTTCTCTGTATTTTTGTGGCCTATTGGGTAAACAATAAGGCACAACATCATTAACACAATAAACTATTTAATAAGTAATGAGTACCGCTGGATAGCTCAGTGGTTTAGATCTTCAGCTGTAGAGCCAGAGGTTGGGAGTTCAATTCCCCCCTGAGCTTCCTTAAGAGGGGCTAGACTTGATGAACCTGAGGGTCCCTTCCAAATCTGCTGTTCAAAGGTTATAATTATTGGTTGTTGTGGGTTTTTCGGGCTCTTTTGCCGTGTTCTGAAGGTTGTTCTTCCTAACGTTTTGCCAGTCTCTGCAGCCAGGATCTTCAGAGGAGAGCCAAAGAGCCCAAAACACCCACAACAACCATTAGATCCCAGGCGTGAAAGCCTTCGCAAATACGTTATAATTATTCTTTATTAGTAATACAACTTACTTTTAAAATGTAAGGTTTCATATTCTATTTCAACTTTCTTCCAGGGAGCTCCTGGTAGAGTATATGAGATACTGTCCCCTTTTACCTTCAGAACAACCCTCTGAGAGAGATCAGGCTGAGGGGAAGTGACTGGCCAAGGTTCACCCTGTCAGATTCACATCTGAGGTGGGATTTATTTCCTACACTGGCGCTCACATTTTGCTACTGTCCCTCCTCACCAATATACACCAGGGCTGGGGAAGTCTTAACACCAAACTGAAGGAAGAGAAAGGGAAGCATTTTGTGACTCAAGAACAAAACTGGTCGTACATCGGTGGTGGACATGGAGGAGAATGAGGCGGTTACCTTGACACGTCCACATGGGCAAGGGGATGCTCTTTGCCTAGATTGGGGAATGAAATTTAAGACCGAATTGTCACAAGTACCAATGAGGAGAGGAGACAAGAGTTCAACCGCTACTGGGGTAGGATATTCTGAAGAGGAACAGGGGTACTCATGGATTGGTGCCTTAGGAGGCTTGATGACAGCAACTACTGAACGTGGTCTCTTTGGCAATCCTGCCAGATACAGTGGGGAAATTCTCTCAGGATACAGTGGTGCCTCGCATTACGTTAATTCGTTGCCGCAAAATCGCTGTAGAATGAAAACGTTGTAATGCCAGTGGTGCCTCGCATTACGTTAATTCGTTGCCTAGAAATCGCTGTAGAATGAAAACGTTGTAATATGAAAATAAAAAGCCCACTGAAATGCATTGAAACCCCTTCAATGCATTCCAATGGGCTGGAAACTCACCATCCAGCGAAGATCCTCCATCCGGCGGCCATTTTCGGTGGCTGTCTTGCAAAGAATCTGTCCCAGAAAACAGCGGGGAGTCATTTTATTTACCCGGTGGCCATTTTGAAACCACCGATCAGCTGTTGGAAAATCATCGTTTTGCGAAGAATCAGTTCCCGAAGCAGGGAACTGATCATCGCAAAGCGAAAAAAGCCTATTCAGACCATCGTTTTGCGATCGCAATTGTGATCGCGAAAAGATTGTCATAATGCAGTTTCGTCGTAATGCGGGGCAATCGTAAAGTGAGGCACCACTGTACATTACATGGTACACAGACTGCTTGCCTTCAGTCATCACCCCTGCAGAGGGAGCTTGTCTTCCTTTGGGTTCACAGCCTCTCCCGTGCGAAAAGAGTTGTAAGTCATAACTAGAGTACACGCATTGAACCAGTGGTGATTTGGAGAATCAATACCTAATCAAGTTCTCATGATTCAATGGGCCTACATTAGAAGCTAAAACTGTATTTTGGCCAATAACCGATACATTCAAGTTGGAAAAGCTTTTGGGGTTGAGAAAATGAATAATAATCATGTGCTGCAAAGTCAATTCAAATTTCTGGTCACCCCCTTCTTCCAGAGTTTTCAAGGCATGAAGTACTCAGAAGTGGTTCTGGTGGTGCTCTGAGAACACACTGGCCTATCCAGATTCCTCACTCCATCCCATGTAAACCTGATAACTGAACTTGTCAGCTTCAAGTTTGGTCTCCTGTTCCTTCGAACATCTGTGTACATCTGAATGAGCTCTCCACCTTTTAGCTGTCATAGCTTAAAAGCGAATTCCCTGTTTAGTGACAGTCAACCTCTGAATAACAGACACAGGGCAGGGACACTTGAGTATGGCCAACCTCAACGTCTTCTGTTTGTTGGCTTGCCACGAGGATCTGGCTGGCCACTGGCAACTACACATTACTAGGTTTGCTAAACTTTTGGTCTGAACCAGTAACGCTTATTTCCCCATGTGTCTCACCCTAAAATGGGAAGGGATTTCTTTCCCCTAAGCCTGAGCAAGGATGACAGTAATCACTGTACTTGGCAGAACTATTATTTCCTTTTGATGATTAGAAAATAGATTAAAATCCTACAGTAACTGCCACTGATTCAAGGAGCTTAGTGGTGGGGCCAGGATGGTGTCAGCATTGATCATCCTATCAAGCCTTTCCTCCACTCTTTCCTCTCCCCCCCCTGTCAATATCCTGCTTTGCTACTCTGCCAACTAGCTGGGTTAAACTGAAGTGATGTTGAGCATTGTTATAATAATCAATGTTCATTGATTTACATAACACTGGTAATCTGTGAATGAATATGAGGCTTCCTTTCTTTTTCCAATGGGTGCCTCATTTATTTTGCTTGCAATTCTTTTAACGAAAACATTAACCGATGAAGCTTTTCAAAGGGGACTAGCGAATGGGTCAGGCAGCTGACTGGATCCTACCACCACCTCCTGTACAAGTGAAGAGAAAAAAGCTGGACTGCATGAATGGGAGGGAAAAGGCCCATTAGAGTCAGCCAACACGCAAGCTAGCAGCTGTGCAAATGCAAACGAAGTGGCTTAACTGAACATATGGTACAAATCTATTAGAAGATGGGGCTTGCAGACAGAACGAGCCAACAAATAAAGTCTGTTGGGAGCTGCAAAGAGAATGCCAAAATATGAGGCAATACAATGAAAGTGCTAAGATGCATGAAGGTCCAAATATGTAGGCACAAAAGAAGAAATGAACAGACATCAAATCCTTTTTTAATAAGGCAACTAATCAGTCGGTTACATCTTCAGAGACTGTGCTCTAAAAGGCCAACAACCACTTTCAGATATCAAAGTCAACGAAGAACAAAGAAGCATTTCAGAGATAAGACCTCTAGAGCCTGAAAGCTAGTCTATGTATGAGGCTGGGCGGATGGCCATGGCCAAGCAGCAGAGGGAGGAGGACTGGTGCAGCTGAGAGCAGAGCAGACCAGATAAAACCCTGGAGTCACTTAGTGGTTTAGGTCACTGGCCATGGAGACAGACGTTGGGCGTTCAATTTCCCACCAAGCCTCCTTGACGGGGGCTGGAGTCCCTGATGCTATAGGGTCCCTTCCAACTCCCCAGTTCTAAGATTATCTAAGTTTATCGAAGGCTAAGAATTGCTCTGAAGTCCCAAATCTAGCTAATGTGTCAACAGTACACAGGCAGAAAGTCTTCTTGGCAACTGAAATACTTCAGCAGAGTCTTCTGATTTTGTTCCCATAAACAGGATGGCTGGAACAGATTAAGAGAAAGTTTAAAATGGTCTGAATGTACCTGGAGGGGGAGCACGTAGTTGTGAAGATGGTTTTCTTTGTTGAAGCAGGGGGAACACTAGTCTTTGCCTGGCTAGTTCCGGGGATTTGCTAAGGGCCGTAGCCCAAAAAAGGGAGAGTCATACTAATCTGTGGTAACAGAAACATCCAAAAGTTGCTACGGTACTCTTTGCTGTAGTCTAAACAATAACTTCTAAAAGAACAGCATTGGGAATGTTTCAAGACTACAGTGGTTGAAATCCTGCCGTGCAATTATGCAAACTGTGAATTTTTGATGCAGAACGGCATAAGTTAAGAAGTCATATACTGTATCTGCTGAATACTGAGTTGTAACAGATAGCATCTACAGCAATTTCTTAGATTACATCAATTCCCATCTAAAAGACACTCTTTTGCATAACTGTGCAAAAGAATTTCAGGCATCGTGTAACTAATATGAGTCAACCACATGATTGCTGGGGTGACCGAGGCATCCCAAGCCAGCCAGCTGATGGGTACACGGTTCTCGCATAGTGTTGGGATGATGGCGAGGAACGTGGCAAGTGACAATCTGAGCAGCATCGATTTAAGGTGTCCCTGGTTCCTCCATATCAACTGGTGCCAAATGGACTGTGAGAATCAACCATGGCACTTCCCTCTACTCTCTCATTAGCCTACCCGATTCCTGGACCGATAGAGACGCCCAGCCTGTTGGTGTGCATATGGCCACATTCCTCCACCCACCCCGCTCCGGCCTCACAAACTGGACCTCTCACAGCCTTTTCTGGCCTCTCTCTGATTTACAAGCTGCTTAGGCCGAATATCAAACCCATTCTGCTCAGAATGAGCAAAACAAATACTTCTAAAGACATTTTCTCTCTCTTTCTCTCTCTGTGAACAGCTTGATTGAGATAAACAGTGTTCATTCCAGCTCTCCCTTGCAGAAGAACATTGAGCAATCAGTTTCAACAGCTGGCACTTTGATTTGGCAACCCTAATAAACTGACCTCCTGTATCCAGATCTGTGTAATT